TTATTTAAACAATTCTAAATGACAGTGTGATGGCCATAGTACTTTATGTGGGCAAATGTGTTAAGGATAATGTTTATCAATGTAAATTGCAAAGAATTGTGGATAGATATAACATTTTGTAAACAGTTACTCAGAAGCTGTACTGGCAGTTCTATGTATGTAAGGTAAAACTTCCACAGTACTTCCACTTAAGTAACTAACACATAAAGTCACCCTTACCATAATCCACTGCTCCTTGAAAAAAGTAGCACAAACAGACACTGACTGAGCAATGATAAGTAGAGCTACCGAGGCCGATACTCAAGCAGAAGAAAATTAAAGTTGTTGTTTTGTGGCTCGAAAATTAAAGAAAGTATGTTTAATAATTCAACAAGACCCACCTTCAACACATGTACATTCAAATTTTGGATCAGGCTCATCATTGCTGTTTGTTCAATAGTTTTTATCCGTTCGAAAAAGTCATTTTACGGCTTTAATGTTTCCAGTGATAAGGAGAATGAGTGCATTTCAAATGAGCGTCCAAAGGCTTTAAACATCCGCTTTGTCTGTAACGCCAGTATCAAACTACAGAGCATTGTTTTTACTAAAATTCAACATTTTCAGATGAAAATTTGGCTGCTTTTTGTTTTTTCACTGTAACACCCACCTCAACGCCATTTTTAGGATATTCTTGGTGATCCCACCTTTTTCATATTTATGCTTTTGTCACTGAGGGTATCTAATACGCATGTTGTCACAGTGTTTTGTACTACCAGCTGGAGGGCTCTGCTTTGAGCAGTCTGTTTTTATTTTGTTCGTGACTGTGTGTTTTTTTTCAACGGATCCTCCTCAGTTTGATTTTGTTCCACAAACTTTGTGTGAGTTCACAACGAGTAAAGAGATTAAAACCAGTTTAAGAGGCAGGAGGGTTGGACCTGCACAGGACAGGTGAAGCAGAGAGTGTCGGGGAGATGTGCAACAGAAGCAGAGGGAACATTTTACAGATGAAAATGGCAGATTTAGGTGATTAAGGACTGTTGACAAGATTAAAAGACACGTCGTCAGAGTTCAACAACATTACAGTTTGATTAAATAAAAGGTTTTTAAACTACACAAGGGTATTTTCTCCTCTGATAGTAAGGCATATTAACATCAAGAAAGAAAGAGTATAAAGAAAATAGTAATGTGTGTCTAATTAAACTCTTCCTATGAACCTTATATCATCCTTTTATATGTTTGGTGTTACAACTTGAAGAAGCACAGAAAGATCATCAGACATTAATCTAATCAGTTTTTCAGCCTTCATTTATTGAATGTTGAAATCTTCCTGCTAGACCAAGTGCAGCGTTTAACACCGTTGGCCATAACATGTTATTACAGCTATTATTAAATGGAGAGTCCTCTTCACACACTGAGGTTAATTATGAAGCTCCACAGGCTTCTGTGCAAAGACCAGTTTTGTTTACATTATACGTGCTTTAGAAGGCATAGCATAGCATACTTTCATGCTATGCATTGATACGCTTTTATTGGTTAAACCGCCGGGATGTCTTAGACACATAATGAGCTTTAATTTTCTGCTTCTAAGTTCAGATAGAACTGAGGTTATTGTAACGGGGCGTAAAATCTTAGACACTGTGGCTAACAGATCCTTATCTGGATGGCATCGTCTTGAGCCGCCTGTTGTAGTGATTTGGTACATTATAAGTAAATTGAACATACAATCCCATGCACACATAAAATTTATTTATATACAAAAATAAAATGCTTTTTCAAAAGAATTGTAACTTCACAATTCATCACCGGTTACGTGGGTACATTTTCTTTTTAAATGCACTAAATGTAGAATACATGGTTTGGTAAAATGTTGGTTACACGTTCTAAGAATGAAAAAAATCAGTCTTTCAGAGAAAAATTAGCAGCCACCTTTGTACACTCTGCGACAACCGTAGCTGTCTGATTTTCACCATGTCCACCTACCAGTTTGGTGTATGCCTCGGCGATGGCGTCAAAGACTTTCCTTTCCGATTTCAGTTCGTGCAAGAGGTTTCCGCCACCATGCAGACTTTGACGTCGTCCATTTTGATGTTGCGAGCATCAGCAGCCGTTGAATGGATGGAATGAAACGGGGGTGAGGAGTCTTTTTCTGATGCTGTATAATTTTCAGCGTAAAAGTCATTCCTAAACACTCGCAACATCGTGCTGTTTCTGGCGGGGTTGATCGGACATACAACCGTTGCATTCGTCAGTGAGGTATTTGTTGATTACTAGGTTGACAAGATGATACACCGCGGTTTTCACGGTATCGATGAACAAAGAAGATGCCCAACCGTCAAGCTTGTCCGCTTGCTGCGGCTTTTCCAAGGGGCGATAGGAACCGCGCGTGTCAGGTATATTGTGCCCTCGTCCGCAGAACTTTCCTTCCTCGCAGGGTGGCGCAGGGCTGTAGAGGCCATATTCTCTCTGTTGTTGAGCTATAAAAAAAAAGGTTTGAAGGAATGAGACGGCGGTCTTCTTTTTAAAATAACGAAGGGGGCGTGATTGGAGTGGGTTGATCTTAAAGGGTGGGGTAGGTGTGGCAGCATTTTCAAAACCGTAGAGTGGGCCACTGTGTCTCTAGCAGATGAACTTTGGGAAAGAACGGTAATTCCATCTGTTGGGCTTGGAAATTCTCCATGAAATGGGCATTTCCAGCCCTTCTGCTCAATCACCATCAGAGTGACAGAACTTGGTACATATTTGGTACTTGGTCCAGGGATATGAGATCTTTAGTCTCTGAAGATCCAGCCCGAACCTACATTTGAAGATTGGAGTGAAGACGACCGTATTCACCAGTGTCAGAGTGGAGCACACCCCCCTCACCACCACAACTGTGGACTATGGACACTGACAACGAGGAAGCTCTGCATTTAGATAATTTGTTTGCTGTGTCTGTAGATGTATAGGGCTACTTGTTGATACAAGTCCTTTACTGACTTTAATCATCATTAGTGTCTTGTTGCATTGTGTGGCACAGTTGTCTCATAAATTGACTTGGGTAATGTTTAGGAAAACATACAGCTTGATGGATCATCACAAATAATGTACGGAGATTAGTTATATTAGTGTGTGTGTTTGCAGCGGCAGTATAATACCATAATGAAATTGGACAGTAAAGTGAATGACTGTGCATTTGTGTTGTATGTGCACTCACAAGAGAGGATAGGTGAGCTTGACAGAAATGCTTTCACTGTAAGTTAATGGCCATATAGAGAATTTTATATCCGGATCAAATAAGTATTGGCTAGTTTTATTGACAGCATTTTTTTTATATGATGTTTGACAAATGAAAAAATATACTCAGTGTTAACGTTTGCTGACGTATCCAAAAGCCTTAACGTACAATCAGTTGTTTTTGGAGTTATTACCGTATTTTGGACCATAAGGCGATTAAGCGAATTAAACAGTCAGTAAGTCAAACTTAAGTCAACGATAAGTCACATTCAAATAAACATAATATTCTTGACATTGTTACTTACAGTTAATTACTGGTTGTCAGCAGATTAGAAATGCAACCCTCCTGTCTCCAGATAGCTGAATGAAGGTGAGGCAAATGTTTCTGAGCGTTAAATGTAGTGTTTATTTTTTTCTATCCCTTCAGTAGTTAACTTCCTTCAGTATCCAGATTAAGGAGGAGTGATATTTTTCTGATGCCTATATACACTGTGTAGAGTATGTACTGTATATATGCTGGTGAGTAATATACAGAGATTACTCTCTCAAATGACTCTATTGGGCTGACTGGAAATGGTGTTAGACACTGAATGGGGTCCTATACTGCGTGACTGACTCTTATTCTCTAATCTATATAATGGCACACACAGGTTAGATTAATATGGATGATGGATCCCAGCATTGGTTGATGTTGGTAGGTTCTGACAACCTTTGGGGATGTCATGATAAATGTAATCTCATAACGTCACTTATGTGATTGGTTGGGGTGGTGGGGGTCGCTGCGTGTGCTCAGTCACTCCGTCGTTGCTTGACAAGCTGTTAGATGTTCTGTTTTATATGTGACATTGCACACTCACACACACAGACATGCATGAAACACAATACCACCCCATATGTACTCTGCCACCTACATGACACAATATATAAATAATATGATCACACAGATGATACACAATGATACTAGCTTTCAAAAAGAAAAAGCGTAATGATGTGCAGCAAAGAGAGCGATTACAGATTTGTTCATCAGTCAAATGTTTCCTATTGAGCTCTTGAGTTATTCTGAATTGAGTGATTCTGAACACAGGTTACCAAAAATGCTCCAAAATAAGAAAATGTGAAATCCAAGGGAAGCGAATACTTTCTGAATGCATTTTATTATGTTTGACTATATGTTTGACTTGTGCTCATGTGTGAATGTTAGCTTGGGCTTCCAGATAAAATGATGTGTGGTGGTAATCGGTAAGGGCGTTTTGGTTATATCAGCGTTATTCCCCAGTATCATGTTCATTTTTAAAAATGATTTCAGGGTGTATCTTGGCCCTGGCAGCACAGGCACAGACAGTTTGATTTGCATTATCAGTATCAGTTAAGATTGAGACATCATCGCTCTGGGGTGTCCTGTAGCAATACTGCTAACAGCTCATTAGACCGATAAAGAGTAAGACTGAAGAAAAGTTGTCAGTTTAATATCATACAGATACAGACGGATATTATCCAGGCACACACAGAAATTAGTTTGGGAAATATTTATCATAGTTTGCGAGTCTTTTGCACCATTCAGTCCAGCTCATAATTAACTGGCAAATTCCAGAGCCATTAGTTACACAAGGTCACTAAGAGGAGAAACACTGATTTAATCTTAGTGTATGTGTGGAGAAACTGATACAGCACCAAATCCGACACTGAAATAGGCAACTTGTAGTGTTAAAATTTGGCAACTTATTGTATTATATGTTTAACTGCTCATTAAACACATATTCTCTCTCTCTCCCTCTCTCTCGATCTTTTTAAAAAAAATTGTGTTTCAGTCTCCGAAAGAGTCAACTCTGCCTGCATCTGTGTGGTTGATCTGTCACCATGAAGCATCAGTCTATTTCCCGATGGTTGAGTCAGCTGGGACTGCCACAGTACTGCCAGCATGGAGCAGAATATGATGCGTAGAGGTAATACAAGTACATGTGCGAACAGCAGCAAACCCACATGTTTTTTAGCATCCGGTTTTTTAAATGATCGTGAAGTGTTGTAAATTATATAAACAACAAGCTTAGAGGAAAACCTCTTGAGGAAAATGATGTTTACTGGAAAGTAACATCATTTTCTAGCGCTCAAGAAAGGTTTTCTGTGCGGTAGTTAACTGCCAACGCTTTAGAAGTGTTTTAGTGTTGATTGTTAATCATTTTACTATGGTATTCAGACATGGTATAAAAATGCCAAAAATGACTGAAATTGCTACCAATGAGAGCGCGGGATACCGCTGATTAGAGATCCGAATCGGTTACCTAGGCAACCAAATGGCAATCGGCTTCAAGTATGTGTGACAGGAATCCATTCCAGTATGAGCCAGCTTAAAGGACATATAATACTTTTATCACTTTTACGTATATATTTTTAGTTTTGGTAGGTTTGTCCTAAGTTGGTGAAAAACAAACAAACAAATCAAATACAAGAAGAACCACAAAAGGACACCACTGATGATTTGGATAAACATTTTGAACTACAGAGGACATTTAAAAAAAAATTAAAAACAGTTGTTTGAGCAGATAATGAGATTTGCATGATCATATATCAGATGTTGAGTTAATTTAAGTTGGAAGATCTATACAGACCTATACAGAGGGCACAACATCTTTGTTTCTCTAGAGAAAGTGACATGATTGATAGTAATTAATATAAAGGTGTTTATTGTCCCCGTGAGCTGTTAAGTGTTAATACATTGTAATTGGAATGAACTGACCTTTTTAAGTAGTCACACAATGTTTGATTCCAACAAACTTAAATAGTGGGTTGTTATTTAAGGCAGTTTCCCACGACTGATACTAAAGCAGCCTTATTAAACTTCATCACCGGCTGAATGGACAGCGATGTGGAGGCTGTTCAGGCATTACCCAACTTCATTGCTGAATGGTACAAGCTTTGGCCAGGGGACAAGATTCATGAGCCAATAAGACATGAATTATTGCGTTACCTCTAGCTAATGTTTACCCAGAATGCATCTGTGCACAGTGAAGGCATAATAGAGAAAATACAAGAAAGCTTGCGCAAGAAAAGGCTATTCTAGTCACGTTTAAATGAAAGAGTGTAGATATAGTTTGTTATGTGAAATATTTTCTCAATATTAAATGGATTGAAATTCTGAGCGTTGATCTACATGTAGCTAATGCTTTTAGGATGTACACTGTTATTTTTTTTTTCAGTGTAAAGGAAAGTCTCTGTAAGGTCTGACATATATATTAAGGTTGATGTGAGGAGTTGTTTGCACTTCTTGTTACACTGTAATTGCTGTTATGGAGGATAAACTAAGAACTATCCCTACCTCTTTCTGACCATCCTCCATTTCATAATGAAGTCAGTGCAGTTTGCTAACTTCTCTATTCATATTAGAACAAAACATGAGGTTCAGTGCCTCTGAGCCATCCATGCTTGTGAAAACAAACCTAACTAAACTAACATCATTAACACAGCCTTTGCCAGTGTTGGGGTCATTATTCCAAAAAAGTAATGTATTACATGCTACTTCTTACTGTTCTTGCAGTATGTTACTTAAAGAGAAAGTAATTTGTTACACTACTAGTTACATTACTTTCTCGTTACTCCGTGAATTGACCTAAAATGCATCGTCATGTAATTACCAGCTAATAACATAAAGGTTGGGTTACAGTTCCACACACCAACACAAATCTCTCTGCTAATGTAGACGCACATAGAGCTTTCTTTTAGGGTTTACATAAGAAGAAAGCTGACAACACAACATGAAACATCCCTAATAGACTTAAAGCCATTGTGATTCTACTTTAGAAACATGCACAGGTAGAAATGGAGAATGGAAGTCTGGCTGTATGTCAATGCCTTTGTTGAAGTTCAACGTCTGGGTGCTGGACTGCGATTAGCATGAACTCAGCTTTATCGTCTTTCTGGGTTCTTTGCTATCTTTGTGTTAGCAATATAATGTGGTTGTTTCTGTACTTGATGCTGTTAGCACTTAACCGTCACACTCTTATCCTTTCTAAGTATGTACTTTGATTATAGTAACACGTTAAACCCAAAACTTCTTGCTGCAGTAATGTTTTTTTTAATATCTGGCTGGATGTTGGATGTTTGCTTGGGTTCTCACAGTCCAAAGACATGCAGTTAGTGGGGTTAGATTAACAGGTCATTCTAAATTGTCCATAGGTGTGAATGTGAGTGTGGATGGTTGTCTGTCTCTGTGTTGAGAGGATAAGAGGAAGAGAATGGATGCATGTATTATAGATTTTGAGGTGATGATGATTCTTGATTTCTCTTGATTATCCACAAAACTACAGTTAACAGTTAACGTACAGCATTTAGTTAGAGAACATGGATGTTGTCTTTCTCAGCCCCACCTTATAATTTAACCTGTGTCTCCACTGGAGATAGAAGTGCTGCTTTTTTAAAATTTTCTGCCACGTGATTCAAATGTCAAAGAGTTTGACATTTAAATTCAACAGGCCATTTTATTACCAAAAATATCGATTCATGCAGTATTTAAAAAAATTCCAGATCACTGCGCCACAGTGAGATGTTTAATGTCCGGAAACATCCCCACGTCTCTGCTTGCCTTTTCATTTACTTGCACCTTCATTGTTGAAATAACATTTACGCTGGCAAAACCAACATCCACAAGTGCTATGTCAACTCTCCACAGGACTGGTATGGGAGTTCATATTGTTGTTCAGCTCTGCGTGATGTGGACAACAGAGAAAAAAGAAAACATGTCAACTTGCTGTTCCATGCAGACTGAGATGAGAAAGACAGGAGAGGGAGGGAGAGATTCTGAGATAGAGAGAGACAGACAGAAAGACTTATCTCTCTCTCTCGCTCCCCCTCATGCACACACCTTGAACTGTGTGTGTGTGTGATGAGCTGAACAAATGTAGTATCTTTCTTGACTTGCCAACATGTTATTATTGAGCTGTTTAGGCATGTTGAGCCCAGTGACCATCTGTCACATGTGTTGTACGCACTTGATAATTCAGGTTCATGTCTTGTAATTTTCTTTTTTTCCCTTTTGTTTTCGTGTGTGTGTGTGTGTGTGTGTGTGTGTGTTTCCGTTTCCCATTCAGGGTTATTTTTTTTTAAACAGTTTCCTCCTTTGTGTGCACTTTTGTGCACGGATGAGGCAGAGTTGGTTTGTGTGCATGTATTTGGCTACTTGTGGATGCAGGTGAGCAGTTTCTTACTTGCAGTGTGCTTGTGCGCCCTTTCACTGTGATTTTAATTTGTCTGTGTGTGTTTACATTCATGGGTGCCCACTGCATGCTCAGAGTCTAAATAGAGCAGTGTTTGTCATGAGCCATGAGAATAGTCATATTGTTGAGCAATCAGAACAAAAAGCCCTTGGTCTGAGCTCAGAGCAGCGTGTGATGACACACTGTGTCACATGTACATGTCTGTGTGTGTTGTGGGGGTTTTTTGGGTGGGTTTCTTTTTTCCGTTTGGTTACAAGCGTACTATAGAAGGTTGGGTTATGGTTCAAAGATTTGGTAGGTCTCTACTTCAAAGGTCATGTAAGTTAATAACACAGCGAGTTTGGAAGTGTGGCAGGGTGTGTGTTAAGACGGTGTAATGACAGCAGCAGGATGAGAGGTGGAGATGACACTTTGGAAGATAAGAGGTCACTTGTGGTCTCAGCCTTTTTATTATGCACTGCTTTCTGAAAATCTTGTGAATGCCATAACTCAAGATGGAAGTCATCTAGGATCTTCAAATATATATCATACGTGCATCTATTAGTAGGCTGAGGGGCAGCACTGGTGTCTGCCAGTATTTTTGTATTTATTGCTCTTGATGTGTTTTATTCTTGTTGTTGGGCTTAACAAGCACCTGAGTGCAAAATACAATTTCACCTCATGCGAATATTTGCTGGAATGACAATAAGAGCCTTTAAATAAGTATTGGAATAGTTAAAATCCAGTTAAAAGTGGCAGAAATGGTTTTGCTTTTTGACTTTTCTCTAACAGACAAAAGGATCAAAATATTACAGACTGTAAAAATACTGCTGCTCAGTACCCCAGCACCACCCACTATGACCTCAGTAAAACCACAAGTAGAATTGTTGCGGCAGGGAAGGCGGACGCACCTGCACGGCATCACAGTCACGCCTCGCCAGCTTGGTGTAGGGTCCTGTCATGTTGTCTTTGTGGGTATGTGTGGCTGGCAGCTAGGGAGCTGCAGCCGTGGAAGTGTGTTAGAACGCAAACGTAAAAAAAATATGTTGGAGAATGCAGAATTGTGGTCATGCCATGCCTCATTCCTGCCACAGTTGCCTTTTTCACAATGTTGACCAAAAAAATGACAATGTAGGAGATTCATTTCAGAATTGACGGCAGGTCTGTTAGATTGGTTTGGATGCATTAACTGGGAATTATATTTTTGCATTAACGGTATTCTGCAGGTATGTTGTAGCCCAACCCAGCAAAAACCATGTTTGTCTTCTATCTGAAAATGAAACTCTGTTCAAACTGAGATGAAATTTTAGTTGTGTGAGGGTCCAATGAGTCCTCTAGACTCAGTTTATGCAAAACCTGTGTTTAAAAAGTGTAAATATCAGTAAAACCATAAGTCAATGCTTTACTGTAGGCTGGGACACAGCTTATTTGAACCTAATATGTAACTGATACGATACAGGGACAACATAGTATATTTTTAAACTGTTATTTTTATTTGAAAAAATGAATTCACATCTATGATCCAGACATCATCTCACAGTAAAACATGCAGACTATTTAACTTCACGATGGTTAAATGCAGCTTTGTTTGTTTTGTACACCTTGAATTAAAGGATGCAGTTTCTAGGGTTAATTTGCCCCAACAACAAACTGAAACGCTGAGCAGAAAGTTGCTGAAAGCTGTCGACTGCTCCA